AGCATTGATACTGATGGTCTCTACACTGTCAAATACAGTAGACCTTTACAGTATCTGTCAGTGAATGAGATGAGTGCAATGTCTACTGGTAAGCTTAGGGAATCATTTGTACATGAATCTGTTCACATTCATTTGGAAGACACTTCTCTTCTCTCAAGGCCAAAGGAGGAAGGTGATGCAGAAATCGAATACACTGTCCACCTAGAAGCCTGTGGCAGTGCTACTTTTAAAAATGGTGATGTTCAGAATAGTGCAACACTGGATGCCCATAAGAAGCTCTGTGGTGGAAGTCGTAGAGCTTATTTTGAAGTTGGCGATAATAATATATATACTACATGGTTTGGTGTATACACATCTGACAGGGCTGCCACAGTTAAAAAAACATACAGGAATATAACAGATGATATATTTAACAAAGAATGCATTTACTACAATAATGGTCCACTCTGCAGATCCAATATTTATGCCTACACATACATGACTGGTACCACTGTGTACCTCTGTAGTGTTTTTTATGAAGAACCAACATATTGCAGCAAGACTGGTGAGAGCAAGGAAGGCATACTGCTTCATGAATGGTCTCATCCTTATGGCCAACGTGATGATGTTGATTATGGTCGTTCGAATTGCAAGGATTTAGCCAAGAATGAACCAGATGATGCTGTCAGGAATGCTGATAGTTACCAGTATTACTATTGCGATCTGCAGTAAAGAGCTCATCAACTAAAAGCCACGAACTTTAAGAATCATGCCACAACACTATAGGACATGCACAGTTTATTTTTGCTGCTTTAGGCTTATTTAACTGTAATATTACATTTTTGAATTATTTATCTTGGCTTAATGATCATTATTATAAATATCAACTCTAAAATTTTAATAATGCAAAAAATATTTACGCTGCATAAATTATGGTGAAAATTAAATATAACCGAGGTACTTGCTGTGTAAAAAGTATTATTATACACAGTAATGTATAACATTATCACATGATAAAGGAATTAATTTTGACCTAGTGTTTAGCATAAGGAAATTACTATGTGCTGGCCGTTAAAAAGAGGTGTACGCCCATTATTTAAGTGAAGTTCTACCTTTCTTCTCAAATAAAATCTCGTGCTTCTATTTCTACACAGGCTTCTATATTCACTGTACTTGGATCATTGCATGATCCATTACTCCCGGCATAAATCCCTCCCTTTGATACTATAATGCACTATAATTTCCTCTACCACCTAACAAGTACTGTCTTGATCTATGTTTGCAGCAATTTATATGAACTTGGACCTCATAGAGATCCCAAGGATTATGTTCTGCCTGCTGGAAACTTAAAAGAATGCTTGAAATCACAAATTGTATTACCGGTATTGCAGTCAAAATCATGTTCTAGTTATTAGAACTCTTATTACGGTACTAATTTCAAAATAGTTTCCTTTTTTTCATTAAAATTGTTATATGCGGTACGGTTTTTACTAATAACTAGAAGGCGTGGTTAATTTTTAATTTAAAATGAATGTGGCTCTTATTGTCTTCATTCTTGCTGCTACCTTTAAAATATTATTATTTCCTGCATAGTAAGAGATTGCTAAACTAACTAAAACTTATTATTTTCCAGTAAATTAGGCATTGTATCATTTCAGTAAAAATACAATTATCATAATTTTTCAGTAAATCCACTGATTTTGAAGTACATATAGGAACTGGTTGGCCATTACTCACTCTCTCCCTGTATCACAGTGGTATTATGAAGTACGTCTATCAAATGTGTGTGCAATATACAAAACATGCATTAATCTTGAAGCCCCTCCAATAAAATTTGTAGTTTTGTACCATTTAGCAATGTGTTGTAAGCAGCAGGATTAGATATTCTTATTTGTTTTATTTACGTTCTGAGTATCCATTTTGTACACATGATAAAATGAAATTAGGCTGTGATGGAATATACCTGGTATACAGTAGTTTTCATTTTTAATAAGGTGGGGCTGAATTGGCTGGGCGAGTTCATTTATTCTAATAGTTGATACTGACTAAGTGCCATAAAAGTTGGCAAAACACCTTATAGATCTACTATAGTAGTAATAGTACAGGGTGTTTTGTCAGAAATAGGCTATGAGAGAATTTTTCATTTTTAATTTTTTCTGATACAAATAGATGTACTTATGTTGCATAGAAAGTTTTGAGCTGATATTGATTAGAATCAGATTTATTATGGATTTTTAAAGTTGCTTAAAACATCATACAAAAGTCCCTGTACTATAGTATAGTGTCTTTGGCCAAATTTTGCTAAATTGAAAAGGAGAAATTTCTCCATTTTTATTACATTTTATAATTATGTTGCGTAGAAAGTTTGAGCTAATTTTGATCCAAATTGGATTTTTACCAAATAGAGAATTTACCATTTTTTCTTTTTTGATGCACATGCATGTTCTATTGTTGTGTAGAAATTTTGAGTTGAAGCTGGATTTTTTAATGAATTTTTAAGTTGCTCCAAAAACCTTGTACTTGTCAGCTCATGAAGTATGCTGTTTAGCCCACCTAGTATGCTTTTTGGGAAAGAAACCCTGCATTTTATATTGGTAATGGAAATTATTTATATGAAATTACCTTCCTTTTTACTTTATGTAAATAGTGCAGTCATTGGTTTATAACTTCACTTCCTGTCTTAATGTACAGCACACATCAAAAGTAAAGTCCTGTTTCACTGCAAACCATGACCAATAATGCATGAATATCATACAAAGGAGATAAACAATGCAATTAAGTGCAATATACAATCATATGGTAACAATTAAACTCTGTCTATATCACTGGCAATACAGATACTAAATACACTATATATACCGTAAAGTGGGTAAATTTTGACTGGTGCGTATTTTTTCTGTTTCATTGATATTAATTCTAAATGTCTTGATGAAATTAATTCTTAAGATAGGCGTGACCATAATATATTAATAATAACATTGATGATTGAGCTGTAGAGCCAGCATGCATGCTTTCATTGCAGCCACACCTTTACATTCCTGCAGCAGCAGTGCAGCTAACATGCTGAAGTTTCTTTCCTGTCTCAAAACTTCCACTGAGTTTCACTCTCATTTTCATGTATTTTAATATTCTAACCCGCAAACAGACTACAGTTAGCACAGATTGTGGTGAGGGTATGCACTTTAGTGCTCTCGTTGTAGTAAACTTATTTGTTATAGATCTATACCATCTCTAATATTCTGGTATGCCTCTTTAACTGTAGGTATCCTTGAATCTTAATCTACACCAAACCATGTAGTAGATATGCTATTGTTTCCAACTTGACCTTGGGCTGTACTGCTGTATCAATACCACCACAGAGCTTGTTATGAGCAGTCAGTGTTGCACTGTTCTGAACATTGCCATTTTTAAAAGTAAATTGAGTTAAAATATCAGTTATAATACATTCAGATTTTCATCTGCTTTATATATATATTTTATACTATATATGTGTACATGGCTCAGGTAATTGAATATACCAGTTGTTGCTCATCATGAAAGGAAGTGAATTACTCTATGCTGAGTTATAGTAATTTCACTGGAAAGTTAGCATAGTAACTTGGTAGACACTTCAACTGTTGAAATTCTAAGAATACAGTCATAGGTCTATACAAAGGCCTTTTGTTCAAAATAATTGATGTCATGCAGCTAGCCTCTGATTGGTCAATTTTTGCTTAATTGCTAATGAATATTGATGAGGTACCTAATAGTACTGATATAAGGAAGTGACCAGCAGCAGTCAATCACTTCTCACTAAAACAAGAAATCATCTCACAAGAAGAAAGAATACTGTCTATCAAGGAAAGGAATCATGAAGACTCTACTCTCACTCTTCTGTCTGGTTACTTACCTGACCTGTGCTCTGAGGTATGTTACTACAGTATCAAATCAATGTTACTTTTCTCTTGTACATGCAGTCAGTGGCCAGTCTCTCTTGACATGGCTTGTAATAAAGCTCTTTCTGGAGTTGCTTGCTCTTTTGAGTTTACCAACAATGCAAATGAGGATCTTTATCTACTCAAACGTAACACTCCTCTTGAAGGACTCAGATCTCGATTTGTCTCTGTTTCTCTTGACGGTCATCCACTGGAATATGAAGGCATCATCATGTATAGTCTCCCTCCTACAAAGGATGAG